TGGAAAAACAAGAGAAAGAAAGAAGAGAGAAGAGAAAGAGGAGAAAAAAGAGGAAAACCTAGGATTTCATCAAGGATCAACATCCAAGCTTTCAATCAATCGGGTAAGGGTGTGAAACTCTATTATACTGTTAATGTGTATGATTATGTATGTTGTTGATCATTTGATGTTGGATTGAGAAGAGTTTCTACTCATTTCCATCTTAGGACAATATTAGGATTTAATCGGTAGAATGTGGTTTTAACCGGTTAGAATCGAGAAATGGATGGAGTAGGATGATCGGGTGTTATTGGGTTGGACTTACTGGGGTAGTTTGGTGTTAGAATTGGTTGGTTTTGTGAGGTTTGGGCTTTGGACAACCATGGAAGTTCTGAGTTCGCAGGCTCACCAGGCGAAGCCCAGCGAGCAACAGCGAACTAAGTCAGAAGCATATACCCTATCTTCGCTGGCAAGTTCGCCAGGCGAATGAGAGTGGAGAAGGTTCGCCAGGCGAGTGTGCTGGAGAGTGCTAGCGAGTAATTCCATAATAACTCCCAATGGTCTTCGCTGGCAAGTTCGCCCGGCGAACTAAGTAGCGAAGGTTCGCCAGAGGCTTCGCCAGGCAAGGTTGGCGAATGCGACAGCATTTTCCTATTTTCTGTGTTTTCCCTTTTCATGTGGATTTCTTTGTTCAGTAATGTTCAATCCTTATCGAATTGAATAGTTTTGTGTGTCGTGTGGTATGTTATGTATGGGTAGCCGCAAGGCGTGAATCCTAGAATGTGGAATTTTGATTGTGAAAATATATGCCTTATATGGAATGGTATGTGTTGAAATGAAGAGTATGTGTATATTATGGAGTATAAGTATATTGTGAATGTGCATAGATTGTATGTGCTTGTATGAGATGAATATGCATAGTGATATAATTGCGAATATGTATGCATGTAGAGTAATGTTGTGAATCATTTTGCATAAAGACATCATGATGTACATCCTATCGATGTTGATTCCTTGGAGAATCTGCTGAACATTTGATTCCTCGAAGAATATGCAGAGTATTTGATTCCTTGGAGAATCTGCTGAATATTCGATTCCTTGGAGAATCTGATGAATATTTGATTCCTTGGAGAATCTGCTGAATACTTGATTCTTTGGGGAATCTGCTGAATTGAGTCGGTATCGCATTTGCATCTGCATAGAGTCGTGAGTCGGTCTCTATGAGTTGCATTGGTCATCTTTATATGATGCATGGAGTGAATTGAACATAATTCTAGATGTTTATGTGGAAGATGATGAGTATGTGTAGACGCATGATTTAATAAATATGCTTGATTGCGTGAATATGCATCGTGATGAGATGTGGTGAGAATCTGAATTGTGTTAATCCCATGTATGTATATAGATGTATAAATATATGTATTGACTGTTATGATATTGTTTCTCACCCTTCTGCTGTTTCATAATGCTCTATGAGGCATTGCAGAGTAGGATTGCTAGAGGTCCTTTTTGTGAAGCAGGTCTTCATTATTTTTGGTCGATGGCTCTGATATGTAACATCTGGGTAGTTATGAAGCCTTTGGTTCATTTTGGAGATACTTTTGCTTTGATTTCTTTTGTGATACATCTGCGTATGTATCTGATAATGGATGTTTGTACATATGAATTAACTGAATGATGTATATATGTTTATATGAATGTATTGATTCAATATTTAGATGTTTTCGCTTTATTCTAAATATTGAGATGTGAGTTTTAGAACTATGTTCTTCAGTTGCGAATTGCCCATTGTTGCATATCTATTTGAGCAGGTGTTGTAGGTGTTTAACTTCATGATAATGTGATACACCTCTTTTATATCATGTATTAATTAAACTCTGATGAAACTTTTATCAAGTGCTTAAATGATTTAATTGTTTATTTGAGGGTATAGAAAGGGGGGTGTTACAGGCTCGTCCCTGCCCTGTATGAAACCCTCAAGCGTGACTTCAGATTTCAGATGACGCCTGGAGGCAGTAAAATGTCGGGCGAATTGCTCCTTCAGGCTTCTTCAAGAGGTGATCGAGTCCCGAGTAAGGCTCTTATACCAAGTCATAGCCCCCTTCCTAAGGGTGATGGAGAATAACCTTCATTTGATCGCCCTAGTGACATTGTGGTAGTGCAGCATGGCCTCAATGTTTTCTATGTGGTCGCTGGGGCCGGTGGTACCATCATAGAGCGCTAGAGGGGGAGGTTTCTCCAGCCCGCGAGGAATGCGGGTGTCCATGATTTCCTAACACAGGGGACCGCGGGCGTCGTCTTCGTCGCTCGTGCTTGGTGACCTGCTGAGAGAATAACTGTGTCCACGGCTTCTGCTGCGTCGAGGATAACATCTGTGTTGGCTTCGATGTTCTTCGCGAGGCTTTCCCGAAGGCCTGGTCCTTTTAGGCGCTAAGGAGTGCTTGGACCTCCGGGGAGGGGTACGATCGCGTTGGAGAGTGCTTGGACCTCCGGAACTTTAGACACGAGGCTTCACATTGTCAGAGGATGGAGATGCCAGTTTTTCGTCCCTGTGATCGGTTTCTCCGGTAGCAGCTCCAGGAATGAGGGTTTTGCCGCAATCCAGAATGGCGATGACGGAATCTTGATAGATGTCATTGTTATGGTGAAAGGCCATGGCGATGAAGGTCCAGAGAGATAGCTTTGGTCTTTTGTTCGAGAAGATTGGGGGATCTTGGTTTAAAAAGACGGGGGAACTGGTATTTCCATAGACGACGCCACTAATTTGGAGTGATCAGAATGAATAGTCTTGGCCTTCAATGTAGGGCAACAACAGTGGTTGTAGGAGAGGATGGGGTGTACCTGCAAGGTATTCCGATGCCAAAGTAAGTTTGTGCTAGAGAGAAAGCATGTACAAATGTTTAGCTATGAGTTAGAATGATTAGAATACCTGACCTTCTCAAGAGAGAGGGTATTTATGAGATTCCCTCCAGCGCGGGGCCAAGGTCTCCCATGTGACCGAAACATCTGATCGGCCAATGGGGGACTACCAGGTGGAAGATCTAGCGCGTGATTAAAACCTGGTCCAATTGTCCCCGTGACTTTTGGAGGGGTAGTTGGTCGTGTGAACTGTCAAGCGCGTAAGGGGGATGTCCCCAACGACTATATGCTCCAACGGCTATATCGTGCCCAACAGTCATATTGTGTCTAACAACTATATTTTGCCCGACAACTAGATTGTCCTAATCTTCTTGTTGGGCCTGACCTTAAGCTAAACTGGATTGGGTCTTGCCCAACTGTGGGGCATGTGCCAGTCCAGTCCAAAACACCACCCTTTGACCTGAAACCACTATGGACCCTAGATGTATAGTCGAGTACTTTATTACTGATCTAATATTGTCCGTAACTGGATGACCATAAAGACATTTGATGAGTACTCCACAAAGCATCCTGAGTGATATGAGTGACCTAGATGAAAATTTCCTATCCTACATAATAGGATAAATGTCTAAGGGTCCAATATGCCTTGTGCTCAATATAGACATAAGGGCAAAAGGGTAATTGTACACACATGTACTATCACAAAAGGTTTTGTTAGATCATATGACATTTTCGTGACTTGGGTAGAAGTGATGTGTTGCTAGATACCGCTCACTGTTTATTATATTAAATATATGATTTAATATAATTGTCAACATCACGAGAACCTATAGAGTCACACACATAAGGACAAAGTGACGAGAGATATAATAAATAAGGAACATTGTAAGGTACAATATACTTGAGAGAATTATGGAACACCATAAGGTACGATGTATTTAAGTGAAATATGAAACATCGTATAATATAATAGTAAGAGTTGTTGTTATTATTATTATTATTATTATTATTATTATTATTATTATTATTATTATTATTATTATTATTATTATTATTATTATTATTATTATTATTATTATTATTATTATTATTATTATTATTATTATTATTATATGGTGCACTTAAGTTGTGGTTTTGAGCTTGCAACCCACACAAGTGGTTTTATAAATACAACTATTGTGTAGAAGTTTTAGAACTTGATGAAATTCAGTTGGTGAAATTCTGACTGTTTTTCTTTCTTTCTCTCTCTCACTCAAAGTCTTCATTCGTAGCAGGTAGCACTGAGATTGAAGACACTCTATTCGTGTGGACTGAATAGATGCGTTATTCTTCATTCAATGTTCGTGATCATTCATCTGAATCTGCATCAAAATTGTTAATCACCACAAGAGATAATTGTTTCTATCACTGATCATGCTCATTCGTAAGGATCACTAAAGAGAGAATTTTAATTTTCCGTTGCGTTTTGGATCGCGAGTTTTCTTTAGTTAGTACCTGCTCCGCACCTACCCTCGCTCTACACCTGCCAACTAAATTTAATTTATTTTTAATAATTTTATTACTCATTTACACTTTTAAATATTACAATATCATGTTTATTAAAATTATTATTTATTTTTTAAAAATATAATTTAAATAAAAATAATCAAGCATTATAATTATTCTTAAGCTAATCAATTATTTAATTTAATTATTGATTATTATTATTATTAAAAATATATATATTTAAAAAAAATACAATTTATACGGATGGGAGCGGGGCAGGTGCGGTGAAACCTGTTTCTTATTGTAGGCAGAGGCGGAAAAACAATTTTTAATTTCAAACAAATTTGGAGACGAGAAGAGTTTGAATCTAAAAAAAGAGACGAGTCTAGATATATTTAAATCCGCCTCCGTCCCGCTCCGTTGTCTTGCATACTTGCTGAGAACTCATTTAAAATTAAAACAAACCTTCATATTAACTTGCCCCAACACAAACATTAACAAAACTTCGTATTGACTTGCCCCAACACAAAAATTAACAAAATTAGAAATTGACCTTGAAAAGAGGCAAAATCTCAATATCCATACCTTCACTATCTAGGTGAACCATGGGGTTAGATAGTTTATAATTCGTTCACTCATTAACCAAAACAAAAACAAAAAATCGATGTACACAAATAATGATTCGTGTTCAAATAGCCAAACACCTACACAAACCTCTGAATCTCAAACCAAAACCCTTAACCCTCTTCTTCTCTTCTTCTTCTTCACAACAACAACAACAAATTTCTGTAACTTCCGCATTTTCAATCCTCACCAACCAACGTTCCAAATCCCGCTGGAACACTCTCCATTCCCTCTACCCACACGGCTTCAACCCCAACGATTTCTCCCAAATCACTCTCCACCTCCACAACAAACCCCACCTCGCTCTTCACTTCTACCAATGGACCAAATCCAAATCCCTCTGTCACCACAACCTTTCCTCCTACTCCACCATCATCCATATCCTCGCACGCGCCCGTCTTTACTCACACGCTTACAACACCATCAGAACCGCTCTTCTCGATTCCAAAACCCAGTCCACTTCCACGCCGTTGAAGCTTTTCGAGATTCTCGTTAATTCTTATCGAGATTGTGGATCTTCTCCTTTTGTTTTTGATTTGTTGATTAAAGCATGTTTACAGTCTAGAAAAATTGAAGCTTCCATAGAAATTATTAGAATGCTACTCTCTCGTCGGATTAGCCCCAATGTTATGACTTTGAATTCTTTGATTTCTAGGGTTTGTTCAAAATTTGGGGTGGATTTAGGGTATGCGATTTACAGAGAGTTTTTTAGGTTAGACGAAGAAAAATATGATTTTTCGAAAAGGGGTTTTAGAGTTGTTAACCCTAATGTGCATACTTTTAATACATTGATGTTGTGTTGTTATCAAAATGGTTTGATGGAGAAGGTTGAGGAAATTTGGGGTGAAATGAGTTGTGATCCTAATGCTTATAGCTATAGTTTATTGATGAGTGCATTTTGTGAGGGAGGGAGGATGGGAGATTGTGAAGAGATGTGGAAGGAAATGAGGAAGAAGGAAATTGAGCCTGATGTGGTTAGTTACAACACTATAATTGGTGGGTTTTGTAAGATTGGTGATGTTGGAAAAGCTGAGGAGTTTTTAAGAGAAATGGGATTGGTTGGTATTGATGCAACTGGTTCAACTTATGAGGATCTTGTTCAGGGGTATTGTAATGTCGAGGATGTTGATTCAGCTGTTCTTGTTTATAAGGATATGTTGAGGAAGGATTTTAGACCTGATTCATTAATCCTTGATATGGTGGTTAGGTTGCTTTGTGATAGAGGTAGGATTGAAGAAGCTATGGAGTTTTTCAGGAGTGGAGTTGTGAAGTTTGAGTTGGATCCAAAGGATAAGAGTTACGAGGCCTTGATTAAAGGGTTGTGTTTTGAGGGGAGGATGGAAGAAGGGTTGAAACTTCAGGCAGAGATGGTAGGAAAAGGGTTTGAACCAAATTCAGAAATGTATGAAGCTTTTATTGATGGGTATATTAGACAAGGGAATGAGGAAATGGCAGAAGCTTTGAGGAGAGAAATGGTGCAAACTCTTGCAGAGATAACCGATTAATTACTTTTTGTTTGCCATTAACTGTAAAATCTGAAATCTGTATACTAGTCTGTTTGTTCTTGTTCTTGGTGTATCTGATGCATGACAATTTTGTGCGCGAAACAGAATTTAACAAGCCAATCTGGTAATAATGTCGAACTCGAAGGACCACGTGTGCAATTTTGTATTAACATTGAGCTTTATCTATACTTAAAAATCTATATAACAAATACATGTTGAGTTTTGAAGTTATACATAATCACTAACAAACTAGGACTGTCTCGGAAAATTCGGAAAAGTATTACAAAATAAACAATGGTCAATCTGATATTTTTACAGGGAAATGAAAAGAGAATCACAAAGAGGGTAACAGATAGAGGTTAAAAAGAGAGGATGCCAAGGACAGAAACCATGACACAAAAGCCAAAGCTGCTGATATCTTGTACCTGCAGCAAAGCTTTATAGGACAAAAAGATCCTTGGGAATTAAGCAGGAGATCTACAACACTAGCTGTTGAGGAAGCTGCTGCTAGTGTGAGTGTTGATAAAACCTGCAGCAAATAAACTCAAGTTACCAACAGATGGTTGCCAGAATCAGTTGCGGCCAATTCAAACATGCACTAAAGTACATACCCAATCTCCCACAACGATAATCAGTAATATTCCTGGTTGACGAATCGGGCATTTAACAATTACGGAGTATCCATCTACCAAAGCTAATGTGAAACTCCAAGGTATAACCAGACCCATGATTGTCACCAAATAGCTACAACACGAATAATCGAAAATTCCATGAATTTTTACTCATTAGATTATCACAACAAAGAGAATATCAGTGAAAACAGAAAGTACCAGAAAGCTGTGTAGCTGTAGAATTCAACACCCAAAGACATAAAGAGAAGAGAAGCAGATGAGAACAAAGTCTGGCCTAACCTCAAACTGAAGCTGACACATGTGCCAACAGAGCCAGGTAATTCATTCATGTAACTTATTCTATAGGGTTCTAAATTCTAAACTATATAACTCTATTATTGTTCCTTCCTCTTCCCTTTGTAATATGCTATTATCATACCACCTAGTATTGTCATCTAACCTTAGCTGAATCTTTTTTGAAAACACAGAAACGTTATTGGTCTCAGTTGATCCTTAACACTTATTTTCCAAAAAGAAACTTCATGAATGAAGATTTATGGCTAGGTGGAAGCTTGGTTAAACTGCAAAAGCTTTTGGTAGCAATAATGTAGTTTCCTTAATTATCACAAATGAGTTGCTGTTTTTTCGGTGGCATGTCCTTAGCACCGCTAGATATATCAGATTTCTGTGACAATACTTTATAGGTAGATTTGGATAGCAACAATGTTTTTAGGTGTTGTATATAGTAGAAAGAGATTAAAATAATTTTGATATTTGAAAAATTAGTTAAATTCTAAAGTGTGATCAATAAGATGCTTACTTTGTTAGATTTGATCCTTTAGATTGTTTATATTTGGTTAATATACTTTTTATGTGGTTTTGAATGGTCGTTGATCCTGTTATAAGGACTAGGCAACGTAGGCACATGTCCAAAATGAATTCATACCATTGCTTTAAGAAGGAACATAGATTCTACATTTGTCACAACCTTATTTGACCCTATTTTCATTGGTGAAATGATTCGATCATACGAAGCAAGTGGATGTAATGTAGTGGTGGCATCATTTTTAAGTACACAGCTTAATTCAGCATGTAAACAACTAGACACTTTCCAAACTTTTATGTCCAAGGTGTGTATATATTGGAATTAATTTCAACAATTAGTTTATACAAAGTCATTCTTAAATATTGACTTTTAAATACAAATATTAAAACTATAATCATAATTTAAGGCGGAATATGAATATGCTTATACACAACTTTAAAATCGGCAACATATTTATCTATTAAGTATTATAGGAATATGGATGGATCTAATTAGAAAACTTTATAACCTATTTATCTATTAAGGATTATAGGAATTTGGATGGATCCAAGTAAAAAACTTTTTAACCAGTGAAAACAGTAATCCACTAATCCTGAAACGTAAAAGTTTATAGACGAGTGATTGACACATGTTGGCTTATGGATTTTTCTTAATCAATACTCTTAATGCTCTATAAATACTCTTCATATGAGAAGAGATAATCGGTTTGCATATGATATTGATCAATTAGAATTTTTATTATTCTGAAATGAATCATCATGACATCTACTCATATTTGACATCTACTCATATTTGAGTAAATATTTAATTAATTAATTATTAATTAGAAATCTAATTAGTTTTTTTAAACTTTATTTAAGTCATGTCAAATTGTGGTATTTAAAATTTGTGATTAATTTAAGAGTGTCTTTGATGAGATAATTGAAATCTTTTAAGGAATTGGAAATTATAAGCAATTCAAATGATTCAAATGAAATCTATTCATTTTTAAATTATTGTTTTGATGGAGTATTGAAATGATTAATTGTTACATTTTTTAGGTCATTTTCATAAATTTTAAAAATTTTGGGACAAAATTAAAATATGAAAAATATGGACTAATTTGCAATTTTAATAAATTATAGGGACTAATTTATTAAATTTGAAAATTATTAGAAACTTATTTGCAATTTTGAAAATTTTGGAGTTGAATTCTAGATTTTAATAAAATATGAGGACCATCTTACAAAATTTTAAAAATTAATAATAAACAATTTAACATTCGCATTATATAAACTGAATGAGTAATTTTAAAATCTTTACTTTTTTTGTCATTTCTTTAAATTTAACTTGAATAAAATACTTCATAAATTTACATTATTTCAACAATTTTCTATAATTTTTATCAAAACAATTGAATTTGGTCAAGTCATTTTAAATTCTTTAAAAAAAATTACTTTCTCTCATTAAAATGTTTTATACAAAATTTGGATGAGGCAATTGTGAAATTTTAAAGAGTTCAAAATTTTAAGCAACTCAAATAATTCAATTGAAATAAATTCATATTTAAGTTCTTTTGTTTGGATGGGGTATTAAAATGATTCATTATTAAATTTTTGTTGAGTTATTTTCAAAAATTTTAAAATTTTTTGGTTAATTTTAAAAGTTGAAAAATAGGGACCAATATGTAACTTTTGAAAATTTGAAAGGACTAATTTATAAAATTTGTAAATTATTAGGAATTTATTTGCAATCTTTTTAAAAAAAATTATGACTTTAGGCTAAAATTAAAATATTCATAAATATGAGGATCATCTTGCAGAATTTAAAAATTAATAATGAACAATTTAACTTTCACATTAATAACTTATATAAAGTGAATGAGCAATTTCAAATTCTTTATTTTTTGATGCCATTTGGAATTCCTTAAGTTTAATTTGAATAAAATACTTCAAAAATTTACATCATTTAAACAATTCTCCATATTTTTATCCAAACAATGAATTATGGTCAAGTCATTTTAAATTCTCTCAAAAAATACTTTTTCTCATTAAAATATTTCATCCAAACATGTTCTATAAAATTTATTTTTTAAAAGGCAAATTGTGTTAGTATCTTCAAGACCCAGAGAGAAAAGCGTATGAAAATAAAACACTAAAGTAAATTAAAAAATTAAAAAAAATAAGAGTTAGAGAGATGACACTCGAGAATTATCTAGGTTCGATCGACGTTGGCCTATTTCACTATAATATTGAGTTTTTGCAAGTTATGCCCATGAATTTTTGATACAAGCGAAAAAGATTTTACACTGAATTATCCCCCAAGCAAAAGAGAGCTTTTCCATGGGATGAACTCACGAATCGAGTAGAGATTTTACAAGCTTATCTCAATAACCTAACATAACTTTTCATTGATGAGTTCTATAACCAAACAAAGGTTTTACAAGTGGTTGATCTAATAAAGCAAATTCAATTTTTCAACAGTATCACACTTTTGAAAATAACAACACCGTGTTGGAACAAAATTGATTAATAACATATCCCTTAGATTTTGATGATAACAAAGTATTTAAAGAACAATTAGGTATTCTAACATATGTTATAGTATGCAGGATTATAAGTTTAAGAACAAATGACGAGAAGCTTGGAGATTCTGAATCTAAAGTTTAGACCCGGGATCTAAAGATCGCTTCTAAAGACTCTGACTTTGATGGAAGATTGAAGAACTCAACATCTGAAGAAAGTCAACCTCTGAAGGATAATCTTTTCAATCGATGCAACTCTAATGGACTCAAAGATCTTTTGTTCACGTGAAGACTTAAGGAAATATATCTTCATTATTGTCCGAGCTTCAACGAATAATTCTTCTTGCAGAAAGATGCTTTATTGATGTGTCCAATTAAGTATAAAGCTTGTCCACTTTTTTGGTGAAAGTCTTCTAATGTATCTTTTGTAACGCCCCGATTTCAATTATTACCATTTTGTTGAGTCTTTTATTTAAATTGAGTGATAATTATTTTATTTGTGAAATTGGTGTGTTAATATGATATGTTGACATGTTATGATATTTTACCGTTTTTGAGAGTTTTCGGAGAAATTAGAATGGAGAGTATTTTGGACATTTCTCATTTAATGATAAGTTAGAAATTTAGTGGAAATAGAATTATGTGAGAAATTTAGTAAAATTGGTAGAAAAGTGATTAAGTGTAGAATGATGTGAGAAAATGAATTAATTAAATTTGTGCAAAAAAAAAAAGATAAGAAGAAGAAATAGGAGAGAAATAGAAAGAAAAGAGAAATAGAGACAAAAAGGAGAGAAAGAAAGAGGAAGAAGAGAAAAGAGAAGAAAAAGAGGAAAAGCTTGAAAATCTTCAAAACAACTTCTAGGAATCGATTTAATCGGGTAAGGGTGTGAAATCTTATTATCTCATCAATGTATATCATTATGTATGTGTTTGCTTGAATGTTTTCTTGTTTTCCATAGCTTGAGTTCAAGGTTGAAATTGAGATTTTTGTGAGGAATCGATGTTTTTACAGACAAAAGTCAGAATAGATTGCGTATTTGTGTCTGGTAATGTTAGGTCGTGATCGAGTATGCTTGTTTTATCAAATTTGGTTGATTTTGTAAGTTTTTGCATTTTTGGAGATTTGAGGGTTTAAGATTCGGATTGAAATCGAAAGTCGTAGATTTCACGTTTGATGATTCTAAATCACTACTATATGTTTGGTAAGAATGAGTATGTGTTTGTTTCGAAGAAAATAATTGAATCTGTCGGATTTTCGGGCGAAAATGCTCAAACCCGTAACATTCTTTATGCAGAAAAATTTTATTTTGGAAAAACTTCGAAAATTCATAACTCTTGAACTGTAAGTCGATTTTGACCCCTGTTCGAAGTGTTGGAAAGTTAACGAGATTCTCTTTCTAGGAAAAATGATTTTGAGGCCTGTACCTGGTTCAATTATATAAGAAAATTGAAAACGTATCGTTGTGTTGATTTTTACCGTCGCGAATGTGTGCGTTTGATGTGTTATCGTGCAATATGCTTTTGTTATATAACGTATAACTTGTGCGTGTTGTTATACGATGTGTTGTGGGTAGCCTTATGGAGTGAATCCTAGATTGTGGAATTTATTGTGAATTGTGGCCTTTTGGTAAATAAATGCATTGTTTAAATTAAATGTAAATGCATGTTAATTGTGAAAGAGTTTGTTGCCGTTTAGGTGGTAAAGCGATGCTTGTTGCCGTTTGGCATAATTGATGTGAATGTATATAGATTGTATGTGATAGTATGAGATGAATGCATGAATATATTGTGAATATGTATGCATTTCAAGAGTGTCTTGAGTCATTTTGTATGTGAAGCATAATGACGTACATTCTTGTGTTGTGTGATTCTAATGAGAATCCGTTGTAACGTCGTGTGCCTGTGTGAGGTGTGAGCGATGATTAAAAATGATTGTGTGCCTAGGTGATGTGTGAGCAATCAGATTGTGTGCCTATGTGAGGTGTGAGCAATCCATAAACATTGTGTGCCTATGTGAGGTG